GTAGAAGTAGAAACATATAAGTAATTAATAAAAATACTGAATAAATAATAAATGTTAATGATGATGATGTCGATGTTAAGTATAATAGCATGTTTATATTTCTCATTGCAATACAAAAATTGTGACTTTTTCAAGTTTTAGAAATTTCTCGAGAATTCGAGAATTCCCGGGAATTCCTAGTCGAGAATTCTCGAGTCCTGAGAAAAAAAGTAGGCCGAGAAATCAGAAGCCCTAGTGAATCGTATATCCACGGAGATTTTTGGTTTTTTGGCTTTCCAATATCACTAGAAATGAAAATTTTTTTCTATGCGCATAGAAAAAACGCGGGCTTAACTTTTGGCGGCATAATACGTAAGAAAAAATCGAAAAATTCTTCTTCCTATTTAATTATGTATGTATCTTTTGAAGAGTTGATTTTAGGCGAAAATGGAAAAGGAACATGTTTGTAATTAAATTTTTTACAAAATAAGACTAGTTACAAATCGAATGAATCATGATTATTATTGTAAATATCGAAAAAATCGCCAAAAATGGGGTTAAAAAACATTACTTTTTAAGGAATTTTTTTGGAGTCTTTAAATTGCGTATAGGACCTTCATATTTAGCTCAAGAAAACTTAATGTTATGTAGAATCATCACACCAAATTTGATCAAAATTGGTTTGATAGATTTTGTATAATAATTTGGCAATCCAAATTTTGAAAAAAAAATTGCAAATTTTCAAAATTTTGCACAGCAAAAACCAAGGGCCTTAGATACCTGAAAATTTAATCACAGATAAAAGGGCTCTCAAGCTTTCAAACGCTTTTTGAAAAATTCGAATCCGTCAATTAAGAGAGCTCTGGCTCTTTTCAAAAAGCATTTGAAATCTTGAGAGACCTTCTATATGTGATTAAATTTTCAAGTATCCAAGGGCCTTGGTTTTTGCTATGCAAAATTTTGAAAATTTGCAATTTTTTTTTTCAAAATCTGGATTGCAAAATTATTATGTAAAATCTATCTAACCGATTTTGATGAAATTTGGTGTGATGATTCTAGATAACAAAGTTTTCTTGAGCCAAGTATGAAGGTCCTATACCCAATTTAAAGACCCCAAAAAAATTCCTTAAAAAGTAATGTTTTTTAACCCTATTTTTGGCGACTTTTTCGATTTTTACAATAATAATCATGATTCATTCGATTTGTAACTAGTCATATTTTGTAAATAATTTAATTACAAACATTTTTATCCTCTTCCATTTTCGCCTAAAATCAAGTCTTGAAAAGATACATAATTAAATAGGAAGATGAAATTTTTCGAATTTTTTTAACATTCTGCCGCGAAAAGTTAAGCCCACGTTTTTTTTATACGCATAGAAAAATGTTCATTTCTAGTGATATTTGAAAGCCAAAAAGCCAACAATCTTCGTGGATATACGATTCCCCAAACCAAAACAGATACCGCCTGGTCTATAGAGAAAACCCAATTTTTGGAAGCTTTCGATCGGCTTGATCACAATTTTTTTATCATGAAATTGGAATCATATGGTATCGTTGCTTAAACCTCATTTTAGTACTAGATACCTGTTTGTACAGTATTGTGGCTTTCAATCATGTAAGTTCCATCAATTTTCAGGTGCTCTGCAAGGGTCAATCCTCGGGCCATTGCTGTTTCATATTTTTATTAATGACTTAACTGAATGTCTCGATTTCAAAATTATTTTCTCTTTGTGGACGACCGTAATTTGTTCTTGGAAGGTAAATCTTCTATTGGTTGTACTAGATTTCAAGATAACCTTGACAGATTACACAGTTAGTGTTCAATTAATAATCTACCTCCGAATGTAAGCAGATGTAGAATTATGTCCTACAGATGAAAAGCTACTCTAGACTTTGATTATAAAACTAGTGAAATTTCTAAATTGAGTTACCCAATTTTTTTACCCTGGGGATTACATTTGGTGCTAGATTAGGTATCGTTTGACGAACATAGTTACTAAGCCAAGTCTACTCTTAAAAACTTAAACTTAATTTTGCGTAATTTTAAAAACTCTCAATACGTAATTAATCATTTGTGCGTTGCAAACTAGAATATGATTGATTGTTTGGAGACCCCAATTATAATGTTTATAATTCTCAATTAGAGAAAGTACAACAGATATATTTACAGACTATTCATTTTATTAGTTATGGATTTTATCCTCCTCTCAGTAGGTACCTCAAGAATGATTGCTCTCTTGTTTTAATTTTGATTTAAATGGTCTCTGTCGTAGGCGTAATATGTTTTCAATTATACCTACTACTTTTTAAAATGCAAATTAATTAATTTCATAGATTTTATATTATGTTTGTAGACTTCCAGAATTCACTCTGCATACCTCGCACAAGCTAGTATCTCTCTATATTAACCATCAAACGGCATGGTGGATGGAAGAGCTCCTCTGTAGCAGAAAGTTATGTTGAAGAGTCTATATCTAACAAACTTAATATTTCAAGGAAAATCCAACAAAAATATACTGTTCCTTACAAATAGAGACAAATTGTGGAAATTCTTCACAAACTTGGGCAGATATTATGCGTTCCGAAAATGATGGCAACAATGCTACAAGAGTTGTTATTAATGGAAAGGAAGTTAAAAGTGATATAACAAAAAACGAAATGCTTATTACTATAAATGTGAATGTTAATTTTAATAAGTAAATAAATTAAATTTGATTTATTATAGTTTGTTATTCTACTAGTGAAATAATGTTACTTTATTCCACTAATGGATAAATTATCATTAATTTAGACGGTTCATATATGTGGATAAAAGTCCGATTATAAGGTGATTGTGGATACAATAAATAATTTATTGTTTAGCAGAGGTTATCCTAATCTCGTATATGTTATTTAGATTATTTGTTTTATTTGTGTATTATTGTCTGTAGTACCTTATGTCTTCATACTTAATTAAGTGAAAATAGATAGTTTTGAGGTAATTTTTTTTAAATATTTACAAGAAATTTTCTACCTCCTCTACTTTATTAATCATATAAAAAATATATATAGTTTATAAATATGTTCTAAACCGTTTTATTAATTAATGTTGCACTTGACTTTCAATTGAGAAATAAAAAATTATTTTTTGCAGAAAGTTTATTTTTCCAAGTCAAATCTAAATCCCATCCAACCTGTTATAATGAGCATTTCATTTTTAAAAAATCTCCCGAACGTTATCTCGTTAACGTTGCCAACTCTTACGTAATTTTCAAATGCACACAATGTCGTAAAATTATGACCGAATCATAGGAATATTTATTGCCCCATTCCAGAATTTTACGACTACAAGTTGAATGAACCTTAGACACAGCACGATGCAACGTCGTGTCCTAGTTTGATCTAGTTTTCGCATCCAAAAAACCGTCCGCTATTACCGAATCCAGAACATCGTTCTGCTTGCGTCAACCGACATGGAAAAGCACTCGAATAGGCCACGTGAAGTGCAAAGATGAGGAAATAAACGATCCGCTTTATTGCACATACGATAATAGTTTTCATAAAGCAGCAAATAGCATAATGTGCAATGAGTATTTCATGATAGTGTCGTTGTATGAGTCCCGGGAAATTTTCACGCATGTTTCCAAAATAATTCGATAACAAATTCTACTAAAACTAGACAAATAACTGCAGACGTATGGCGAATAAATAGAATGTTGCGCATGTTTTCAAATTTCCCCGGAATCCCCCAACGAAGACCGGCCGATAATTCCGGTAAACTCTCCACAGGCGAACCGATAACTAACCTCTAAGCACCGCAGGCGAAAATGTTTGACTCAGGTACAGTCGCTCAACCGAGTAGAAATATGAAGGTGCATACACAATTTTTTCTCCAATCAGTCGCGATAAAGAAAAATAATCACTATATTTTAAAACCACCATCAATAAGAACCGCAATCAAAAGGGGTTCCGATGGAAGGTCCTTCCCCACAAAACCTAGCTCGAGAACAACAGAGGCTCTAAATTCCAATTTGTGTGGCTCAAACTTCCCTCAAGTCTCCACAACGCCAAAGATACATGCCACCTATGAATTGACACAGTGTTCTATGTAAAATGCATTGAAAAGTAGTACTTAGCTTGTACAGCAAATATTTGACATTAAAGGGAGTTATTGCCAAAGAAAATAGAACATTTAAAATGGCCTTTGTAGAACTAAGTACTTTTTAAAATGGAAATTGCAGAAGATTGGTAGAGACGTATAAATCATGTCCAGTGGATTTGTGGTAGAGAAAATTATTAAAAAGGAAGATATTTAATAGTGTTTCAACTGTCAAAAATGATAGATTGTAAATCTAACATGGTGTGATGTGCATTTCAATTGGTATCTTAATCAAAATACTTTATCTTGAATGACATAAAAAAAAACAATTAAATCTGTGTTTTGTTACATATTCACTGCTTCAACTGTTACAGTCTTTCCGAAGTCAGTAGAACATGTATAAAAACCTCTAGCAATAAAATTTAATGAGATTCATATGCGTCCCTAAAGAAGTTTTCTGCTCAAAGTAAAAAATTATAATAATTTGTATGTAAGTGTAGAAAATTTCTATTATATGTTCATTTGGTCAACAACATATTTTAATTACTTATGTCCTCAAACTATTTTATTATATTGATGGTAAATTTCGTTTTGTTCCTTTTCAAAAGGTCTCCAAAATGCCCTGTTGTGACAATATTAGTAAAGAAAATGTCCCTCATATATCTCCCTTTCGCTATTGTAATATGAATGATTAATAGAAGGTGACTATACTAAATTACCTGAATCACACCAAATTCCGCATTGCTGCACTGCACTGTTAGGCAATTTGTTAACAACTGAAATTTATGAACGGTCGCCCAGTGCGGCAGCGTGTGTGCCGAGTTGCAGCATCAGCGACCGAATCTGGTACATACTGCCAACCTCTTGGTTCTTCAACTGAGATCGAAAAAATTATACAACTTTGTTAGAGAGTCAGAAAAATTGTAGAACATAAAAAATTTAATGTACTGTAATCACTTTTATTACACCATGGCAACTGGGTTTCTCTAATAAGAGAAATAAAACAGTCAAACAGCTCAACAACACCACATCGTCACAACTTATCAATTAATATTTTGTTTGTAATAATTTAAAATCGATTAAAATTAACAATATTATATCACAGGCTGTCTCAAAGTATTTTACATATTGTTTTACAATAGCAAGTGTTACGTTATGATTTTCCTATCAATAGCCTGCCCTTCTTTTCGAACCAGTTTCTTCGCTTCGGTCTGTTTTTGAAGATGTCCTCTTTGAACGCTCTCCATGCCGCAGTCCTCTTTGGTCCTTGCGGGGCCCATGTTTTGGTAGAGAAAGTTTGGCAGAAGATCTGTATCGAAAACATATTTATTAGTACGTGTATAAATAACACACTAAAAGTTTTAATATGTAACAAATTTAAGTCACTGACCTCTTTTGGTGGGTCCCTATTGGCATAGAGATAGTAGATTAACCATCCGATTGCTTGCAGAACACCTGCACCCAAAATGCACCAACCAAATGCTGAAAATTGTAACGAAATATTAGTTAACTGTCGTCCTAATTTCACCTGCTTCTATAATTATATAATATATTACATAATTTCGTGGCTTTCGTCGTAATTGTGGAATGTTTTGACCACTTCTAGTCGACGCAGGAAGGTCCAACCTATACAGCGACGCTCCGATCGGACCACGCCTGCGCCCAGCGGTTGCCACCGAATATTTGTTACTCTGCAAATTTATACCCCTAACATCTAGCGTTAAACGACCGATTCCTTGAACATTTCTAATGTTAAAAATCAGTTTTCGCGAATTTGAGGAAACAAACTCATGATATGTGTCTCCAAAGGTCAAAAGTGGCCTTCGTATAAATATGACCTTTCAAAGTTACATCCTATATGATATTTCAGCCACTTGGTGGACTGGAAATAGTCGAAACTGGAACTGGAAATATGTTATACCGGGTGATCCATGTAAAGAAAATATTTTTAGCTTTACAGGGTTTTTCATTTCGCGTGGTCGCTACATAACTTTGTTATTTCAAATGGAACACTCTGTATATTGTTACGTTTTTGAATTCCTGGGTAGAATTAGGTAGAGTTTATTAAATGTACATGGTGTTTAAAACTTACCGTTTTCGAGATATTTAGTTGTTTTTTGAAAAAAATCACGATTTCAGGTCTCTAATGAGGCTAGGTAGCGTCTAAACCGTAATAGTTAGAAACCTGCAGTTTTCACAGTTCGTTTTGGCATAAATTACTCTATCTTGTCATCTGTGAGCAAAATGTGTAACTTAATCAGGCTCGGAAATACTGAGACCTACATTTAATAATCTTACGAGTTGAAAAACCATGCAAATTCTCTTTTTAATTATACTAGGGACATTAATGTAAAATTGACGTACCCATAATTCCATCAGGATATACTAAATCATCAATTCCATATGTTAGAGGTTGTAGAGTTGCGACGAAGTAAATGAAGATCACCATTAACAGAACGGGCATTATCAGACCCCAACATATTCTCCAATAAAGTCCAGCCTTGTGACTTGTCATGAACTGCAGATCTAACAGGAAGTTGTCTAAGCCTGAAAATTACGAATTATACACAAAATAAAGCTGGATTAGAATTTGTAGCTTACCGTAAAGCCACATGACGGCTGTTATTTCAAGAATAGCGAACACGAAGATTATGAAAGTTCCTCCAAAGTGATCCACCAGATCCAGCATGTACTGACCTCCCTAGAAGAAGAATTCATTTTATAGTACAGTCATTGAAGCTTTTCATCTCCGAATTCTTTGTAACTGAACCGATCGATTTGAAATTTGGCAGATAGTTAGAGAAAAGGTCAGTGAACATTAGTGACATAGCGCAGATTGACGCTTCCACCCTGTTGTTAAAAAGTAATTTTTTATCACTATTTTTTGCATAGGGGTAGTTTTTAAGGGTTAAATAAAGGGTCGACAAGATCAAATATATCATAAAACATGTTCGAGAACATGGAACATAATTTAATCTTTGTGCTTGAACAAGATTTTTATCAATAAAATGCTTAAAACTTAATTATTTAAATTTTGTCACTTAGAGGTAGTTTTTACCCCTAAAAAACAAAAAGCGTAAATCGGGCTTATGTCACTTTTGAACTTGAGCCTAAGATGAGCCTTATTCTAAATTTTCATGCAAATCCATGCAGTTTCAAAGAATTCGGAGATTACAGCTGATTTTCAGTTTCAATGACTGTACCATTACCTGTCAAGACTGCGATAAGAGTTGGGTAAAGCTTACTCCAATTTAGACATTTCCAACTTACCGGGGTCACATACATTAAACCAATCAGGAAACATCCTATAGCCGTACCGCCCGATACTACCCACGATTTAACGTTAGGAAAGGCGTCGCTGATGGCTGTATTTAGGGTACTTTGAAGGGCCACCAGACTGCCCACACCCAACACGAACAACATGAAGAAGAACAGAATGGCGAACAGCTGGAAGATAACAAACAATCCGTATTACGGTTCCTGAATCGCAGCACCATCGGGTACTTACCCATGGCACGTGCTGGAACTTAGAAATGGCGTCAGGGTATGAGATGAACGCCAAACCCGTCCCACCGCCTGCAGCTAACACTTCGCTGGGCGAGACACCCATTTCGTAGGCCAAGTTGCCCAGGATTCCGAATATGGTCACTCCAGATAACAATGAAGTGAAGGTATCCAGAGTGGTAACCACAAGCGCGTCCCTGAACATTTTAAACGTTAAAAACATGTGAAAGCATAATGGGAGTCGTTGGTAAGTACCTGTTGATGTTGTGCCTGAAGCCGTTGTAGGACGAGAACATGATGATGGAACCAAACCCTACGTTGAGGGAGAAGAAGCATTGGGTGACTGCAGCATACCACACCTGCAAAAGTCATTCGTTATGTCACCACACAAAATACGTCAAACAAATCACCCTATGCACGTGTAACTTACATCTGCATCCAAGAGTCTGTTCCAGTCCGTATCGATGAAGAAGAACATTCCATCAGCTGCGCCTTCTAAAGTAGCTGCTCTAATGAGCAAGGCGATCATGATGACGTAGGGGAACAGTGCCAGAAAGTAGGAAGCCTTCCCGGAACTTTTAACTCCCTTTATAGACACCAAAAATGTGATGAACCAGGAGAGCAGAAGGAACAGCGTGAGCCGCCAATCTGGTAGACCAATTCCATCGCTGATGTCGTCGGTTTCTCTCAAGACTTCTCTCCTAAAATACAACAGATGAAAGTAAACTATTTGTCACACACCAATGTAAAGAAGTACGAGTGTAAATATTTTTTACTAAAGGAATTAAGCGGAGTCTGTGCAGCCTTTGGAAGACATAAAGTCTTGGGTGCTGAAGAGATGCAAGGAGTTGAGGTGAGGGACCTTCCATGGACCAAAATGCTGGCGTTCATTAAGGCTTCTGATAGGTTCGGGGAGGGTCAGTGGCAGAGAGAGGACAGATGTTGGGACGGTGGGACAAGCAAAAAAGGCCCACTTGCGAGGCTGAGCCTACCTCTTTCACTACTACTACTTCTATTACTAAGTGGAGTCAAACAATGTTCTGGATACCAGAAGTATGTAGGAAGTATGCAAAATATATCTGACCCCACAGACAAGACTCTTATCTGCTGTGCTTACCTGAAATACATTTCTGACGAACTAATCGTCCCATTGGTCGGGATACTGTCCCTGTCAGTGTTAGTGGCGTTTACGCAGGTCAGATTTCTTTTCTCCAAGTACTCGCTCCAATCAGGATTGCAAGTAGCCCATGGAAAGTCAGAGGTGAAGGAATTGACGAAGTAGAAGAGCGTTATGGCCATCAGACTGCAGTAATAGGTGGCGACGCTTGTTGAGCCGATGAGTTGACCATATCCAATAGCTGTAAGGGTTTTCTGTTATGAAGAACAGTCAAAGTATTTAATATAATAAGTAGGTAGCAGCACTACTACCATATAATCGTTGCTAGAGCTGATTCTTTATAAACCAATGGTACTGATGTAAAAAGGTTCCAGCTCTGATAACCAGCTATGTATTACGCGACCAATATTACAGTCGGGTGTAAATAGGGCTGCATAACTTTACCTTTCAGAACCGGCGACATCTTCTCGTACATCTTCACGTTTCCCCTGCTGGAGAACTGTCCCAGGGCCATCTCCATGTAGTACATGGGTCTTCCGATCACTGTCAGGATGATGATGTAGGGAATCAAGAAGGCTCCACCACCGTTCCTGTTTGCTATGAACGGGAACCTCCAGATGTTACCGAGACCTACCGACATGGCTATGCAGGACATCAGGAACTCAATCCCATTGCCCCAGGTTGCCCGCTCTTGTCCGTCGTCATCTTCGTCATCCTGAAACGAGCAAGGATTATATAGAGTCTTCCTAAATAATTGCAAGCCACGTGACCAAAAATTGTTTATTGTTATATATTTAATACTAATTTAAAATAATGAAAATAATGTCACTCGTGTTTATCAAGAGAAGGTACAGGTACAGAAAAGTTTACCCAGGTTTCCATTGTTGTTTGCAATATTAATCATCCTTACTGTCTAGATCGAGTAAAGGGGTACAAAAATATGGGAATTGTGGTTGAACAATGGGACTTAAGCGAGGGCTTATGAAAGTGGGTTCAATAAACATTATTGCCTATTAATTTCAGCAATAAAGCTTAACTGAAACTCTATTATCAGATCTCGCAGTAAAAGAAGAATAAAAAAACATCCGTTCCACATTACCTCCCTTAATCGTTGTTTTCAATTAACTACTTATTTGCTGCATTAAAAGATTACATTACCATTGACAAAGACTAGATATCTTATCAGCATCTAATAAATTTCAAAATGGTAATACCTTAATACCAGTGATAACCGACTGGTTCTAGGAAAACTAGTTTTTATAAATGACAGTAAAATGTTACCTGTGGAGGAGACAGTTGACCATTTCCCTTTTCCGTGTCGGTGGGTTCCTTTTCGAAGGCTGGATTGTCCAGTCCATTGCTCTGGAAAGGAAAAAATGCAGTCAGTACGAAACAGTTGAAATGTAAATATAAGAACTGACAATGCCTTAATCGATAGCAAAAATAGAATAATTCAGCAGTTGCTCCATTGAAGCGCAACTGGATGAAGGAAATCTACAGCAAGACTTGATGATCCAAGTACAACTCCCAATTTATCTTCATTTTATGTAGTAATGGATGTTGAAGACAATTTTAATCAAGCTTTGAAAGAGGGTCATTTTCACACCACACTGGTTTCTGGAATGATCTGGATTCAATGGGAATAAAGTAATAGAATCAAGAATAAGAACATGAGTAGCTAGAAAGCAGGAAAGACTAGTAATATAAAGAGGAAGATACATGGCAATAGAAAAGAAATTAAGAGATATGTGGAAAAATATAAAGTATAATCAGAACAGTTTGGCTACATCCGGGAAAAAATAGAAACGAAGATAATTCTCCAGGAAATAACAATGGAACTATGACAGCAAAACTATGTAATTTATCGATTCTAATTTGCGTTACATAAACTACCTTAGGTTATGGTTACATTGTTTTTAAATTATATCAAATGCAGCAACACTGTACCCGATACATTTTCTATATCAGGAAACGACACTTCTGAATGATCTACTAATGGAACTGACCTTTTACTTCCATTCAAGGAAATCACTCTCACTTTCAAACATACCATTACTTCGTATTTCAATCTTATGTTATTTATTTACCTCCGTAAGGTTAACTAGCACATTTAAAATATTTTGCTTATAGTAGCTATAGCGTGAATGAAAGACAATTATAATTATTTTTTTATAGGTCATCGCTAAGCTTCGGACACAAGGACATGACAAATAATGACACTCTTAATCCACTCCAATTGACACAGATTTGTTTTTAATGTGGCTAATTTTCCATTAATGTACAGTAGAGTGGCTCAAAAAAACGAATATTTTTTTTAGAGGTCGCTCAAGATTTTTAAAAATTTAAAAAATCGTCAAAAATTGAATTAAAAGAAAAAATTTTTCTGTTTATTTTATCATTTTTTAGGTTGAAAAGATCTCGATTCTGAAAATTTCAAATCGATATTTTAATTTCTAAAGGTCACTCATAATTATTTTAACTTTCAAAGTACCTGTTTACCTGTTTACCTGTGTACCTCTTTTCGAACGACCTCTAAAAAATAAATATCAACAAAATAATATTTTTTTTGAGCTGATTTTTTGAGGTCGCTCTTAAAACATTATAAATTAACATATTTTCACAAGAGATACGAAAAAAAATATTCATTTTTTTTATGCCACCCTAATTATAGAATTATAATTTGTAAGTTTGGTCAATAAACCTTATTATTATTATTATTATTATTATTATTATTATTATTACTACCTTTTATTTTATTATAGCAAGTGTTCAAGGTGGCCTCTATTAACCATTGCACAATGCCCAATTCGGTGTTCAAAATTATCAATTACATTTCGAATAACCTTTGGTGTTATGTTTCGAACTTTTTATCTGATACGACTTTTCATTTCTTCGATAGTGTCTGGTCTGTTCACATACACGTTGCTTTTTAGATAATCCCACAAAAAAAAATCTAGTGGGGTTAAGTCAGGGGAGTGTGGTGGCCATTCATGTCATTCATCGATTTGGGAAGACTCCACTAAGGTAATGTCTTACATCGAGGCGAAAATGTGGAGGGGCACCATCTTGGAACCAGACACCACCAGCAGGCATATCGTTCATTAGGGATAGGAGAAATTAATTGCAGCCCAAACATTCACTTTTTCTTTTAAAAAAAATCTTGTATACCTCTGGTTTCTTCAATCTTTTTGAATACTTTACTTATTGTAGCTTGACTAATTGTCTGGTCTGGATACTTTATACCATTTTTCAAAATAATTTAACAACGAATGAATTGGAACTAAAACGTTATATACCTAAGGTACTCTGGTCAATTTGTAGTGACAATGTAGGGGACTCCCCAAGGTTCAGAACTGAGGCCACTCTTCTTTGATACATTTATTAACGATTTTACATATTTGCACTTACATGAAATTAAAATGGTTTTGAGATATTGCTGGTAATTGAATCTGTTTTCAAATAACGTTCTCGATGAAATAATATAAGAGGTAGGTATGTAACATGATACATCGCAACTGATATTAGAAATATTAGATTATTTTTGCAACATTAATATATAGTACTAGTTGGCATTGGACTTGTTACTCGTGTATGTAATTTATAGCTCTGGTAAATGGAGATAAACGACGCTTTGTTTTATTGACCTTCCATAAATAAAGAATTATTGTCTAAAAATTAGACGTAGAAAAATATTTATACGTTTGATAGTTATTTTACCTATTTCAACTCAACAAAAAAATTAAAGGAACATAAAAATTTCCAAATTATTTTTTTCAAAATTAATTTTTTTTCAAAATTTTGAATATTTTTAGATGTTTGATGAGTATTTAACGCGAAATTGTGAGAAAAATAACGAAAAATAACTTGTTTCATCTTAATCATAATTATTGATGTTTAAAGAGCAATAATTAATTTTTTATAAAACTTTGACGATATAGGAAAGGAAAACGGTTCTACTGATCGATTTCAAAATTTACATGGGCATGTATTGAGCTAAAAAAACCTACAACCATTGGTACTTTTCGCAATATTTGCAAAGTAGTCGTTGATTTTCCAAAACAGCAGAAAAAGTAATTTTTTTGCACTTTTCAAATTAATGATGAGTATAAGAGAAATAATCATACAGAAACAAAAAACAGATTGAAGCTGATAAATCAGGCTAAATGACCCTGGTATTGATCAAGCCAGACACGAATATTACATCATCATATTGACTTGACAGTAACTTGATTTGCTCCAAACTACTCCTTTCTTTGTTAAATAATCTGTAATTTAGATTATCGATTAATTTTTGACAAGGTAAAACAAAGAGAGGAACAAAAATCCACCTTAACATGTGCATATTTACATTTATTTATAGAAGAAATAGGTCGTTGTTGTGGTTTTCGTGTGTAAATCGATAGTTAGTACCACCCAACGATCACAACATATTCAGCGTTTATTTTTATAGCGCTTTATACCCCTGGAATCACGACAAAAACATTCGCTCAACCGTTTCGACATGTTTCTCGAAAATAAGCAATAAATATTATCTTCATTGTCAATTTTATTTAACACAATGCACCGTTATCTTCGGTTACTATGCGGTTAGTTTAACACCTGTTCTATATTTTTCATTGGTCCTTTGATGGACACGAAAAGTAATATGTCACTGTACAATTTAATTGAAATGTGTATGACATAAGCAATTAGATATCAATTACGCGCGTGCCATGATGATTGATACAGTCGAGAATACATTTATATTAATTATCCTAACAACATACTGCGAGGAAAATGTTTGTTAAGCATCCAAAAATTGGAGCAGATGTCTAAAAAAGGATAAGCAATTGACACATTCGATGGTCAGTCACTTGAACAGGGTTAGTTTCCGGTAACTTTTTTTATATTGGACTGTTTTCAAGGTAAAGGTAGATAAGTGGATACGACGAAATGAAAGTATGTGTTTGCTGAACAGGAAGCTCTTCTTCGGAAGGTCAATATTAGTCCTTAGATATGAAATAAATGAAACAAGTGCAGTTTCGGTATTTATTTACAAACAAATACGTACGGGGTGTGCCGATTTCAAGGTTTCCAAAGATTTATTGTTGTAGTTTTAAGAAATAATTAAATTAACGCAATTTGAGCGTTAAATTAGATATCAATGGGCGCAGCTAGGGGAAGGCAGGGATTTTTACATTCACCTATTTGGTTTTTGTCTGTGTTTCATCCCCGTTAGAATCTAACTAGACTAGCTTTATCTAACAAACTAAGAAATACAAAATTTTATTTAAAAAAAATTATATCGAGTTATTATATTAGTCATTATATCAATTATTATCAATACCTATAAGTATTCAAAGAAATTTCTTGGTGATAATATAGAAGAATTTAATCCTAGATTATGATATGACACACCTATCAGAAAACAAAGTAGATGTACTTAGATCCTCCTCATAAATCGCTATTGAATCAATCGATAATCTGCCGGGACTTTATATTGATATAATTTCTCTCTAGTCTTAATAAATGTGATTCTTAAAATTTTAATCACAAATATTTTATAAAAGCAATAGTAGAATTTTATTGAATAGTATTTTTTTTCTAACTACAGGGTGGGGAAATCAGCTGTTTCGCTTCTCATTCAGAAATGTTTTTTTCGCGTTTTTGTACTTATTAGGCCTTCCGAATATTAGTCCAGACGGTATTTGTTTCAAAAAGTCCATATTTGGGTGAATCGTATATCCACGGAGATTTTTGGCTTTTTGGCTTTCAAATATCACTAGAAATGAAAATTTTTCTATGCGCATAAAAAAACGTGGGCTTAACTTTTGGCGGCACAATATGTTAAAAAAATTCGATAAATGTCATATTTTTCTTCCTATTTAATTATGTATCTTTTCAAGAGTTGATTTTAGGCGAAAACGGAAGAGGAAAAAATGTTTGTAATTACATTTTTTACAAAATTTGACTAGTTACAAATCGAATGAATCATGATTATTATTGTAAAAATCGAAAAAATCGCCAAAAATGGGGTTACAAACATTACTTTTTAAGGAATTTTTTGGGGTCTTTAAATTGGGTACATGACCGCTCGAGAAAACTTCATGTTATGACACCAAATTTCATCAAAATCGGTTCTATAGATTTTGCATAATAATTGTGCAATCCAAATTTTGAGAAAATATTTTCAAAATTTTGCACAGCAAAAACCAAGGCCCTTAGATACTTAAAAATTTAATCACATATAGAAGGGCTCCCACACTTTCAAACGATTTTTGAAAAATTCGAATCGGTCAATTAGGAGAGCTCTGGCGCTTATTTAAACATTGATCGAATTTTTGTACTTAACAATCATCATTTCTTTTGTGATTAAAGTATAA